TCGGAGAAAATCAGGCTCTCAACAAAATTAATTGATAAAGATGTAGAAATTAGTTGATATTCAATAAATAGTTGAAAATGAATGGATAATCTATGTAATAAGTAAATAGTAAACCTAATTCTAAATTGAGGGCATATACAACTCCATCACTATTGTAATTTCTGTCAAATACCAGGGTATAAATTTGACTTTTAAAAGTCAAATAATTTGAGTAAATCTACAAATGAATTGTTTCTTACCAGATAATATTTTGAAGTTGTAACTTGTACATATCCATATGTGTGCATTTTAACAAATACTTTTTACCTTTAAATTCATCAAGATAATATTAACTAATGGATTATCTCATTCTCAAATTTCTTTAAGCATAATACAAAATCTAAAATAAAATTCATTAGTTGATTAAGATTCTTTAAGCATTTATAAAAAAATTTTTTAAATCTCTAGAAAATACAACTTAGAGAAAGGCTACATATCTCTCAGGTGACTTGGCAAGGTGGAAAATACCTTAGTACCTGAAGGCCAGGTGCTGGAATTTTATGAGTCAGAAGAAGCTGTTGCAGTTGATCTTTATTTTGCAAAGACAGTAATCAGGTCACATTTCATATTTGGGGTTCATAGGCCAGAACATCTTCTGTGAGAAGAAGCAAATTGGAAGAGAGTAAAATCTATCATTTTGGGAAAATGTGCTTTATATGAGTAGTACAATCCGGTAAACATTGGAAGGCTTCACTTTTCATTGCAAAACATGAAATGTATAGAAGTGTCCAGAAACAGATTAATGAAAATACCTAAAAGAGTGAATTATAGCAGAAAGTCAATAGCAATTACAAAGAAGAAAAGGTTTATTTGTCGAGCATAGGTGAAGTCGTTAAAATATTCGATTTTTTGAAAGATCAAAATACGCATAAAAGACCCTCTCAATTGCAGTAGGAAAGGGCAAAGGGTTAGGGGAGGCTGGTGGTTGCTGCCATCTTTGGCACTCCTTGGAGAGTGATGGTTACTCCCTTTTCCGTCATCCGATGCCATCTACCTCTGTGTCTTTCTGTGTTTCCACATTTCCCTTTTATATCGGCACAATTAATTCAAATTGAATTAAAGCCCATCCTAATGACCTCACTTTAGCTTAATTGCTTAGGTAAAAACCTTATTTCGAAATAAGCCCACATCCTATGATACTGGAGCTTAAAACCTCTGTACATGTATCTTCGATACTGTGTCAGGACACACCCATAAAAACCCACTGCTCACCCGGAAGTATTTCCTACATGTTCAACTGCAACCTTCGCCCTTTGTCACTTTGCCCAGCCCCTTTCACCCCGGAACAGCTCTCCTTAGGAGACTGACAAACAACCTAACCCGGTTTTCTCCACTCACTGCCATCCCTTGATCTGGTCTTCCTGGTGCTTGTCATATCTGTAATTTGCATTACAGTGGGATTGTCTGATTAGATTCTGCTTTGGTCTGGGTGTAGTTTGACCTCCAGGGGTTTGAGTGTTGCAAGCTCAGTCACCATACGGTGGTGTTAAAAGCTGTGGAAACGTGAGGTGGTGGAGACTAATGGAGAAGGGGTAGGTCCGCAGCTGCACCCTCAGAAGGAATTAGTATAATTCTCCAGTGCCCTTTAGCAGCTCTTTTGAGATCAAAGCGTTTTAAAACCCACACTCTGGCTTCCTGTCTCTCCACGATCTCTCACTGTCACAAGTGCTCCTGCCACAGAGCTGCCAACACCCATCAGGGGAGCTGTCTGTAAGCCTCTCAAACTGTAAGTTAAATAAACCTCTTTTCTGGTAAAGTACCCAGCTTCGGTCACTTTATTATAGCATCAGTAAATGGACAAATTCAAAATCTCTCCTTTTCACAGACCGTGAGCCCTGGGGAGGCCATTTTTGCTCTCTGTTGTATGCTTACATGTCTGGAGTACCACAATAAGCTTTCAGTAGATGTTTTGTTGAGCCCATGAATAACTGATCTGACTGGGTATGGTAAAAATGGCAGTATTTTTAAGTGTCCTTTTTTTTTTTCAATAGTGTGGATTGAACTCAGGACCTTGTACTTGCAAGGCACGCACAGTGCCACTGAGCTAAATTCCTGCCCCTAAAATGTCAGTATTTTTACTCTCACTAAAACATAACTTTGTAAGAACATAAATTGTGTTTAATAATTAAATAAAATATTAGCCTGACTATCAAGAAATAATTTATCTAACAGTAGGATAACTGGCCAAAAGAATCAATAAGAAATCGGTCACTTGCTTTGAGTTACCCATGCTCGAGGAGTTGGACAGGACTCTTTTTAGACACATTAAATCATCTGAATAAATGTGCAAATTACATTTATGAATGTCTAGGGTAAGAAAACACAAAAGATTATTATAGAATTGAGAAATATTTTGTTCAGTATTACAGTATAATTTATTTACAGGTTGTGGGCTTGGCTCTGAAAACATCCATAAACTGTACTTCCGTGTATTGTGATAAATATGACTTGAGTCATCAACAGCAGTAGCAGGAACAGAAAGGCCACCCTACAGCTCCTGCTTCTATATATTTGACTTTTTAAAATATTACTCATAAATGCTTTTGGATTGAAAAAGCAAAACAGTGCTTCTGAGTAGGACCATTTTCTTTCTCTTCCACAATTCTTTTCATGACTGGTTATATTCAAAAGTCACAATTTGTATCTATCTTGACTTTGAGCCCTGAAAGAACTGACTTGAATTCCAGTTTTCTCCCCTCACCAAAATAGAAGCTCAACACGGATTTTCTCTTTCTGCAGAGTCATTAGGATTAGTTTATTTAATCTCTTTAAACATCGATATTTTTCAGTAAAACAGACATAATATCATTTGATTATTGGATTATTTTGATACTAAATATATATAAAGTGTTTGGACATGGTTAGCAGTGAAGAATTGCTGCTAGTCCTATCTTCACCAATGTGAGCCTGAGAGGTGAATTTTAAATAGTCTTGTATTTCAAGTGTGCATTATATTTTCATTGTATGGTTTGCTCTATTCTCCTAAAACAAAGTACTATTTTAATAACAGTATTCTTATTTTATGATGTATTTTATTTTTCTATTTTAAATTTTATTCAGGTATAACTGATACACAAAAATTGTACATACCAGGGCCAAGAATGTAGCTGAATGGCCCAGCATCTGCCTGGCAAACACGAGTCCCTGAGTTCAATTCCGGGTACCAAAAGGAAGTTATACCTACTTAATGTGTGTATTTTGACAATGTGTACAGCTGTATAGAATTATCACAGTAATAACAGAAAAGGTGCCAATCACCTCCAACACACTTTCTGTGTTGTCTTTGGGAGGATGTTTGTTTTGTCTTCTTTTTGTAGTAAGAACACTCACCCTGAGATCCAGCCTACTGTAAAGTTTACAGTGCCATTTGGTAACCATAAGTACTATGTTGTATTCTAGGTCTGCAACTATTCTTGTCTTACGTAACTGAAACTCTATGCCCATTAAGCCGTAATTCCTCATTGCTTTCTCCCTTTCATCCCTGGCAGTGGCCATCTATTTGCTACTTCTGTGAGCTTGACTAATTTTCAAAACCTCATATATATGGAAAACTCCTGCAGCTAAGTGAAGTAAGCCCATTACAGAAGGACAAATAGAATTTTCTTATATCTAAGATTTATATTTGTCGATAAGCTAACACACATAATGAACTAAGAATATTCCTTTAGATAAATGTTGACTAAAGCTAATATTAAAAATAGTTTCTACATTTCAATAAGTCTACTGAAGATCTAATTGTGCCTTAGAGTTACATAAACAAAGAGCAATAAACAAACTGATGAATTACTCTTTATATAAAATATTTATTCTTAAGGTTAAAATGTTTTAAGCTTAAGTAACCTTCATTCTTTAATGGAAGTATAATCTTTAAAACTTTTGCATAAATAAAAATATATTTGAAAGGCACAATATGCCCAGTAATAAAAGGGAAATAATTTAAATGTGATGCTCTATTGATAGAAAATTAATTCATTCTTTTTCTGTGTATCAGCTTTTCTCTAAACATTAATCTTGCAATTAATTGTGCTGCATGCAGAGGCCAGGGATTTAGCTAAGAGGTTCTGCTACCTGCCTCGCGAGTGCAAGGACCTGAGTCTGATCCCCAGTATCAAAAAAAAAATGCTGTATCCAATTTATAACTGAAGTTATGTATCTGAGATACATTGTTACTCTGTTTACCGAGGGAATAGAACTGGACCCTTCTTACCATAGCCAGAGAATTCCCCACCTCCCTTAAAGTTGCACTGCAATAATTACATTTGTGCTTTTGGAGCCGTAAATATTATTCGCATAAAAGCTGTGCTAAACATAGCTCCACGCATGGGTGTCACGCAGCTTTGCATGAGGCAGTGTGAATTCAATTTTGTGGCTAACAGGAAAGTGCAGCCACAGGCAAACTTGGTTTACTCAGCCTTATGTCGCTCCTGATATGAGATGGCTGGTGGAACATGTACCTAACAGGAGCCTTTTATCTTTCTCAATTATGTATTATCGATGCTACACCTCCAAACTTTTCTTGTAAAAAGTCCAACAGAGAATAAATGAAGGTTTGAGCCACGGAACCGGTCTTTTTAAACTTTCCTATTTAATTCAGGAGACATGTCTGGTCTCTGGTAATGCATTGTGCACAGTGCCACATAATCAATACCTTCCACTTACATTATTTCTGTTGATCTTTGCTGCACCCCCAAGATGTGGGTGTTCTTAGTTCTATCTTTAAAATAATGAAGCTGAGGTTCAAAAAGCTTCAACCAATGTCAAAATAGGACTTGAACCTGGGCCTCCTAGATTTCTGAGGATGCAGCTTGGTTCCCATGCTGTGCTGGTGGTGTGCAGGCTAAATCCTCATCAGCAGGTTCACCAGGAGAGAGTTGATTGCGTTCATTGCAACGCCTTTGAAATCCCATTGTTGTCTCCAGTAACAAAGGAACAACAAACTGGTGTCTTTTGCTCTCATACAGGTACATGGCCATTATTGATCCCTTGAAACCCAGACTGTCTGCCACGGCTACCAGAATCGTCATTGGAAGCATCTGGATTCTGGCATTTCTACTTGCTTTTCCTCAGTGTCTTTATTCCAAAATCAAAGTCATGCCAGGCCGTACCCTTTGCTATGTGCAGTGGCCAGAGGGTCCAAAGCAACATTTCACGTAAGTTAATTCTCTTTTATGATTCGCAGTTCAGTTTATCAAACACTTAGGGAAATACAGGTTGGGGAAAAATTAAATAAATAAGACATGGACATTTTTTTTTCCTTTGGGGCTCACCGATTACCTGGGAGAATAATCGTGAAAAATGCTACAGCATAATATGATGTGGTCAGTACGTTTGTGTAAGTCACAAAGGTTTTTAATTGGAAATGTGATGATTTCCCTATGGAGTTTCCTGGAAGAAGTGATAAAAGATGAAGGCAAGGTGTGGAAGGTAGCAAAGTTGATATTGATTGAGAAATGAGCAGTCAGGGAATTAACGTACAATGTGTTCATTGCTCCCTTAGGAAGCCTGGCTGAAGGGGAGGGAATGCCTGCTAGGTCTTTCAGTTTGGTTTTGGTTTGATCTGATTTGTGTTCATTTCTTTCAGCATTAAGAAACCCAAACATGAGGTTAGAAAATAAATAGAAATGCTATGTGATAGAATTTGGTATTTTGTATTTTAGTCCCACCATAAGAAAAGCAAAAGGGAATAAAAAAGAACATAAGTATGTCATTGATCATCATTTTAGTCATCACTTAAAATTTTATTTCAATAAAATGTGCATTTTTCTATTTTCATGACCAATTTTTTCCTTTTTAAAAGAGGGACTTGAAAATGAGTAGGAATTTTAAAAAGGGGATTGGTATAAATGTATATCCTAAAACAATATATTTTGTGTCAATAAAAATTAAAAATAGGTCCAAAATATATCAAAAATATAAGTGGTAGGATTATCCATAAAAAATAAAAAAAACAAATGGTTCAAACAATGGTCATCTTTTAAGCAGTCATTTTAGCTAATTCCACTCTCCTGAAAGTCCAGGTTTCTGAAAAAAAAAACAATTAGGAGGCACTTATTGAAGGAAAATTGACAGCAGTTATTAAACCAAGGGCTGCTTTCTATCCATTGTTATTAATAAATCTTAGTTGTTTGATATTATTGTCCTTAAATTGTCCATTAAATTACATCCCATTGGACTTAAATCAATACTTAGTAAGCTACTAGAAAATAGATAGGTGAGGAGATTGAAAGCTCACATTGCCAAAATTACAGGTGTTAAGAGGACTATTACAATAATGTCCTTAACTACTTTAAATCCTTCCTAACATAGTGGAAGCCATGGAAAAGTTTATGAAATTCTATTTGGCTATTACAGTGTGAGCTATGCTATCTCTCCACAGCAATCTGACACTTTTGATCAAAAGCTATAGAATCCTCTAACATATAATTTGATAATGACAGCATCATGTCTTCAGTGTGACTTAACAGGTCTCAATTTATTTATCAAATAAACAGTGCCACCGAGTACAATATGAACTTGGAAAAGTGCATGCAAATGTCCTTATCGGATTTTTAAATAAAAATACCATGTGTGTTATGTGTTCAGTACAGTTCCAGGTACCTACTTACTTTTTTGTTGCTCTTGTTGTCTTGGTATCCAGTTACATTTTTTTCATTTGGATGGAAAACGACTTATTTCAAGTGTGCCTGGTGTTGCCAGGATACGTAGAATAGCCTCGGGATTGTTCTGTCCCACTCCTTTTCTCTGAGGTAAATTTAAATACTTCAGCTCAACAGTTCCTAAGCAAAACACCAAGTGGAAGGAAACAACTCGCACTCAGTTCTTGGTAGAAGGAACTTGTACAGATTTAAAAAGCTCTTCACCTCAGTTTTGGTTTTCACATACAAAATAAAGGTCTGCAAAGATCATTTGACAGCACTTGAAACATATAGGTGACAGTAGCGTGACGTTTTGGGCATAGAGATAAAGCCAAATAATCTCCAGCATTGTTATCATGATTCATAGTGGAGCGAAGTCAAACTTGGGATCCATCCACGCGTGTTTTCTCCGTGTTCACAGGTACCACATCACTGTCATCATCCTGGTGTACTGCTTCCCGCTGCTCATCATGGGCATCACCTACACCATCGTCGGGGTCACGCTGTGGGGAGGGGAGATCCCGGGGGGCACCTGCAACAAGTACCAGGAGCAGCTGAAGGCCAAGCGAAAGGTACCGTCCCCGCGGCTGACCTGGCGTTTGTGTGCCCTGTGGCACAGCGGAGAGGGAAAGTCCATCGTGGCTCTTTAATGTTGTATCATTTGATATTTTACTCCTACTTTTTAAAAATGTCTTTGTTGGGCAGGGGATTTAGCTCAGTGGTTCCGTGGCCTGCTTCACAAGTGTAAGGTCCTGAGTTCGATTCCTGCTACATCCCCCAAAAAATGCCTTTGTTTCATCTTTATTGTCCTACCATTCTGTCTTTTTGTTGTTTTTGTCATTCTTCTGCAAACCACTGTCCAAGTACCAGAGCCGAAGTCGCTCCTTGGATAGGACAGTTCCTTCCTTACAATGGACTTTCTAAAATCACCTTTTGCAAAGTATTTTCAAGCATTCCACCTGAAATTGTACAAGTTGTACTTTAAATGGCATCCCGATCGATTTTATTTCTGTAACTCTAGGTATCTTTGGCTTTCATCGAACAAGAGCACATCTGAGAGTCAGTGGTCTGCCAGAAGCTTCTTTGCCCCAGAATGACATCTTTGCTAGCAAAAGCTGTGATTCCTTATTCTCTCTCCCTCAGATGCCCTCCTGTCTCCCTCTATCTCTCTCTCCCTCCCCCCACTTCTTTCTCCATTTTTCCCCCAAATGTACACCACGCGCATCTGCTTAAGGGATGAGAATTGTACTATTCCGTATCTTCGTGAGTGATACAAAAAAAGCATATTTCTAATTCACATTAAGTAAGAAAATCTCTTAAAAAGGAGTATTGTTGTATTATTACAATTGTGTTGTCAAGAATTTTTTCAACTACTGTTAAGAAATTCAGTGAGTGAGCTTTTTCAGCAATGTGTGAAATCAAAGATTGTCAATCCTCCTTTGGTCCAGTTACCATCGTGTGTCTGAAGCGTTCCGTAGGGATTTGCCCTGGAGGCCTAAGTCTGCAGTCACTGACGTTTGCCCCCCTTATGGTTATGCAGAACTATCAGCAACCATGGGTACGTCCTTTAAAATGCCTCAAGAATCTTAAAGCTACTTAACTATATGCACCCACTTACTAGTATTTCTATGAGATTTCCAAAGTATGAGATAACAAATAGCAAATTTAATGCAGCGCTTTTCCCTGGCAGAGACAAACGAGGCCACAAAGAGCTGTGTGCACGGTGCTTGGTATTTATCATGAGCTCTGGTGTAAGTTGCACAGTCACATTACACAATCACCGGCTTTGGCTGCCTGTAAGATCTCCACTAAGGTCCCTGATGTGAAAACTATCAGAACTATATATTTAAAGCATAACAACTGTGCAGCAAAATTGACCTAAGAGACTGTATCTCTTGATTTTAATATACTGTATGTTAGCATATAAAAGTCACCTTTTAAATATCTACTGCTCAACTTACAACCTAATGTAAAATACATTTTCAGTTTTAGAATGATGAATCACATATAGAATCCAGAATGCTGGATCTGATAAGAGCCTAAAATTTCATGAATCTCTCACCTAAAATCACTTGAACTAAAATCAAGTGCAATGTAAGAAGGAAATGTAAGTAGAGGGACTAACAGCTCTCCTATGTAGGATGTTTTGGCAAAGAAATTGCATGTGCTCTTTAATTTTTTTCAGTCTTGAAAATATCTTTCTTTTTTTGTTTTCTTAAGTACATCTAAGCAAGAAAGCCATAGATCTGCCTCCAAGTTATTTCCAGTGCTTATTAAACTTAGGGTCTTATCTGTAACAAACTAATCCAGAGGGCTACAGCTTGAACCTGCTTTGGAAGCCGATGCACCATCCATCTTTCCGATCAGAGTATTTTCATAAATAAAGATTGCCTCTTTCATTTCAGTGTATGGGGGGGAAGTGCAATGCCATTCTCCCAGAAACGATTTTAAGATCCTTGGCAATGATTAAATATGTCCTAAAGTACATGTGTGACTGAGACAGGTGAACCCCTGCTGGTGTCTCGCGCTACCTGGAACGGCAATGCTAGAAGGCCAGTGATTGACAAGATGGGAAGAAAATAAATTCTACTAACAGGTGCACACCCTGGACCCAAAGCACAGTTAATGGAGTCAATTATCACAATTACTACATGTGTCTCTGTGAATGAGAAGTGGTGTTAAAATCGGGAATGGAAGGAAAAAATGAGAACAACTACATGAGAGGCCATTAAAGGTTAATTTAAGGTCATTAGAGGTTCATTAAAGTTATTAAAGGTTAATTAGAGGTCATTAAAGGTTACTTCTTAAAAATTCCTATTGTGGAAATGCCGTGGAACGAAGCATGTCCAGGAAAAATGCTTTCCTGTTGTGTGACATCCTTGCTACTCGGGTGAAGGAGTCGGTGAGTCGTACTAGTCCGGGGTGAATTAGACTCCGTGTGCTGAGGAGGAGCCTGGTCTCCATGTGGTCAAGGTTTCCAAGAGCACACAGAGCCCTGCCTTCGGGGCGGATGTGTGCTGTGGTCATGGCGACTAAATCCACAGATAGAAGCCGACACAGGATGACGGAGTCAGGGGCTAGGAAACCAAGCACACGGGCCGCCAGCCACGACAGCCTCCATCCCGAGGCTCACGCCAAAGAGCAGGGTCGAGGGTGTCAAAAATTTGCATAGGAGTTCTTGCCTCACGTAGACACGAGTTGAGGAAGTGTGCAGAATGTTAGTTGTGATTACCTTTGCCATTTAAATTCCGTGTTTCTGACATCTAGTGTTGTGCCTTTTTCCTAGCAGGCAGCTAATCCATTTCATTTTTATTGTTCTATTGTGTACCTATATCAGTAAGAAACCTAAGGGGAACCTAAAGTTGGAAGCAGAACTTATGTCCAGATATTCAGACCTTATTCCTCAGTTTTCTCTGTTTAATTGTGTAAGAATTTGTTTGGGTGGCTGGAGATTTTATGAAGATACGTGATCCAGATGAGTTAGATGAAGGATAATATTAGTATTCAGGGCCCTACAGTTTCCTGTGCATAAATTGCAACAAGAAATATAAATGGCAAGTTTCCTGTGGCTGCTTTTATCCATAGTAACAGCAGCAGCAACAACCACAGGAAAAGAAAGAGTTCTTTTTCAGATTTAGCCTATAAACTAAGACTCTTACACTTGAAGAATGGCCACCAAAGCTGAAGTGAGTGTTTTCCTGCATATTTCCTTCTCTGTGAGTTAATATTTACATCACACTTAGCTAGTTAGCTGGACGTGTGCTGGACATTTGTCTTCCTTCAGTTACTGTGGTGTAGCCCTCAGAGTGGCCGAGGACGTGTACATTTTTTTAAAAGCGAGCTCACTGCACAGCTGCACAGTTAGTGCAGCCATCGATCAGCGGCTGAAAGGCTGGCTCTGTGAGTGGACTGGAGCTTTTCTGACTCTCCTGGTAATCAGTCCATCTCTTGTACTACCTGTATTTCGATGAAAGACTTTAAATTACCCAGATAACGGAGACTTGCGACATTAATATGTCGTGGAAATGTTTGAGCTCGCATAGTGACGTCTTCCTGTCCCTCTTTCCTCTCTGTGCCTCCACAATCCGGGCCCTCACATTTCTATGTTTCTTTCCCCAAGTGGTTTGTTAATAATGCCCTTTCTGTTATTCATATTATTATTAATCATAAAACCTTTAAACATTCATGTATTTTCTTTTCTTTTTAAAATATATGTTTTTATATGAATTAACCAAACTTCTTAATATTACATTTTGTAGGACAGTAAAAGTGATGCACTAAAAAATAGCTTCTTTGGTTTCTCCCATGAATCAAACTTTGTCCTCTCTAAAAAGAAAATAATAAATATTGCAAGAAATTTATACAGAAAGTCATGGTTATTTGACCCATTATTCCTCAGTCATATATTTTAAGAAAAGCTTCTGTTTGAGCTAATGAATCACTGAATGCCACTACAAAATGCCTGATTTGCATGTTTCTGAAATTAGATCAATACTTCAACCCAACAGAGAAAGATGGAAAATTATGCTGTTGGTTCTTTGAAAGCTTCAATGCTTGAAGGGAAGGAACTAAAAACAAAACCACATCATACAACACCTGAGACCTCTGATGGCCTGAATAATATTATCAACATGGAAACAATGAAACTTAAGAACAATAGCTACCCACTCTCTCTACCCAAATTTGTGGACTCTCCCTGCGCTACAGCCTCCCCGCGGAGGAAGCTCCCCACCCCTCTCGGACATGGATTGCCAGAAGCATTTTCTCTGCACCCTTTGATTAAATATTCTCCCTGTTCTCTGTCCCTGGCAGTGGATGGAAATCAGTATTAAAAGCCTAAGAAAGTTTCTACATGTTTCCTTCTGGTTTACCAGTCGTACTTGTCCTATAGAAATGTTTATTTCTTTTTCTTAACAAAGACAAGCACTATAAGGAGGAAATAGCTATAACCCTTGAATGCTTAACACCCGCTGAAAAAGATTTCTCTGTGGATTACCCATCAATACTTCTCCTATAATTACAGATTTAGGGAAGATACAAGCAGGTTCAGGCATCACAGATTTCTGCCTGGAAAGTGAATCTTAGCACTCAGAATCTCATGACTGCCGTAATTCTCCATGTTTCAAGATGGATCACATGGGGGGGAATAGGTACACACAACTGATAATTGTATCAGTTGGGTAGCTTTTATAAAATCTAGAAGGATAGGTTATGTTTAATAGCACTCGTCCACTGGTTTTATTTTTTAATTAATTTAATTGGTACATGTACAGTACGCAACATAATGACATTCATCATTGGAAATTTGCACCTTTATGTAATCCATCTTGGTCCTCATTTTTTCCCCATTCCCCTGCCCTCCCTTTAACCCCTCTACCCCTCCCTATCTACAAAGACTTTGTTTCTATTTTTTTCTTTTTCTCCCATTAATGCCATTCCCTTGTTTAAGCTTAGTTAGATCCACCTGAAGTTTATTTGTCTGAGTTGCAGGATTCAACTTCAGGCTTGTTTTCTAAATGCTTTTGTGTGGTCCTCACTGTTTTTTGCAAAATCCATTTTGCCAACAGTAACTCAAAACCTCACCATTACTGTAGTCTAATATTCTCAATGTACCTGGGACTCAATAAAGGCTTTCAATTCCATTCTGATAATATATCAGACTTCTGACTGTTCATACATTATTATCACATTGGTGTAACTAATCAAGCTCAGATAGACATTTGGTAGATGACAGATAGATAGATAGATAGATACATAGATAGATAGATAGATAGATAGATAGATAGATAGATGACTATCTGACAAGGCCGCTCATCTTGTGCTACCAAAGCAAGCACAACACATTTTCTCTTTTTTCCCCAGAATTTTCTCAGGTATATTTGCTTCTTTACTTTACATTAAAATTTATAATCATTTTTATACTTCAGATTATTTTATTTATGAGATTGGATTTTTTTAAATTTGAGTGACTTGGATAATGACTACTTAATAGAGAAATTAAGGAGTGGATTGGTGGGTGGGAAATGAATGGCATTATTTAAATTGCTCCTAAACAGTAGACTATCGTGCCAAGTACAGAAGCTTACGATTATTGTGTCAAGTTCAAACACCGGCTCTCGGGCTGGGGATTTAGCTCAGTGGTTCTGCCCCCTGCCTTGAAAGCACAAAGACCTGAGTTCGATCCCCGGTGCCAAAAACAAAACAAAACAAAACAAAATCACTGGCTCTGGCACATAGCTTGGGTAATACAACTAAGAGAGCTTAGTTCTATGAAGTGAAAATAAAACACACACTGATGCAGTTGTGTGGGAATTAAATGAGACAATACACATTGAGCACTGAGCGTTCCCAGCAAATGTTATCTGTTGTTTTAGGCATTGTACTGTGAACATATGTGCCTGGATTGTGAAGGTGAGAAGGCATCATGTGGGGAAAAAGGAAAGAGGTATCTACTTGCCCATTTGTCTTTTTAAACATAGTACTGAGCTACTTTCTCTAGTGAATCGTAGTTTGCAATTGACTTCCACGTATACTTGTAAATTATTTAATTCTCATGACATCTATGTAAATGAAATATGAAAGTAGCTCAAAATCTATGGTGAAAAATCCTCAATGTCATACACTTTTCTAGCAATCTAGGCACTGTTTTATTTCACATTCACAATAATTTGTTGGGTTAGGCAAGAAAAAAATTACTTTTCTTTGGAGGCCCGTAAGAAAGTTGTAAGTGGAGAAGGCAAAAGTGAAATGGGAAATGGAAAGGTCCCAGTATGAGAGGCTTCAACAATCAATGTCAGAGTTTGGTGACCGTTTGGAGGTGGAGACTGAGAGAAGGGTAATGGAGAGACTGTGTTTTGGGAGTCAGTTGCTGGGAAAACAAGATGCTATTGACAGGGAACCGAGAGCTTGTGAGGATACCCGGTGACGTTTGGATGAAGAGGAATTCACTTTGGAAGAGAGCAGCAGGGTAGAAATGTTCATCTCGATCCACCCTGTGCCGGTGACAATAGCAGCTCTTGGACTGCGTGAGCACAGGTTCACACTGCCCCACCGTTCTCTGACTGGCAGCATCCGCAGGAGGAACGTCCCATCCCACCCTCAGAGTGACATCGCTCTCACGAAAGCATGTGCCCCTACTCCCGGGCATCTGAGCACCAAAGCCTCTGCCCTCTACTGCAGCCCCTTCCAGCAATCCCCATTCTGCTGACCTCCCAGAGCCAGCAGAAGACTGGGGGGGGCCCATGTGGCCAAACTGTAGGCTTCTATTTCCGTTTATTGCATTACCTTTGCCTTTTGCTTTTAATTTAGTAGAAGGAAGGTTTCAATCAATGCAGAAAATTGAATGATAGCGTTATTCCTCTTGGCCAGAGGTTGCCAGTTAGTGACAGGTTAACAAAATATCCTTTGAAAAAGATGAGTCAATAGCTGACTGCTCATGTAGTTATTTTTGTGTCCTCAAAAGCAAGCAGGTTGATGCCACTTGCCTTCCTCTGTTTCCATTTAATGGGGCATCGTAATTATATGCTTGTATCAGTCATCGTGTGCAGCCTTTTAGCTTCTGACCCTATCAGCGGGAGATGCATTTGTGGCTGTTGGCTCTGCAGAGTGACAGACTGTCGGGAATGACTCGTATGTGCTCTCTAACTTCTACTTTGAGACAATATTTATTCTAAAAAAAAAATTCAACTAAGTATGGGGAAATATTCGGTCATAAAACAGAGCAAATCCATATAATTTATAGGATAATTAAGACAAGCCAAAAAGCTCAAAAATCATCTGTCTATTTTCATGTGGCTTGGCCAGCGATAGCCATTATTTCATTTAAATTCATATTAAATAAACTGACCTGTACACTATGTGTTACTCTATTCACTTCTAAGCAAGGATTACAAAGTTTGATGCTTTTCCTTTAAATGGTCAATGTTTCCTCTTTAAACCCTTGTATTTATTGTGAGAAAATATGCCTAAGCACTTTGGCTCACATACATTATCTGATTTGTACCTTATTAACACTGTAATATTAGACTTAACCAATTGATAATGTAACCAAGGCTTAGAGCACTTAATTTCCTTGAAATTACTATGTCAAGGGAGTGAAGGAATCTGGTTTAGAACCCAAAATGATGAGGAAATAAATAATCTATTGTGTAGTGGCCCTATAATCCCAACACTGAGAAGGCTGAGGCAGGAGGAACACTGAGTTCAGGGCCAGCCTGGTCTACATAGTGAGATCGAGAGCAGCCTGAACTACATGGAGAGAACTTGTCTCAGAAAAAAATAATAATAATAAATTCAAATAAGGCTTGTGGTGTTTCTAGGAAAATTGAGGCACTCTGTCACAAGAGGTTCCTGGATCTGTTTCAGAATACTGAGCAAGCAATGGGTGCTGCTCCTATATCCTCTGTGCCTGGCATGATCCTGGGTGGATGGGTGGGTGGGTGGATGGGTGGATGGGTGGATGGGTGGATGGGTGGATGGGTGGGTGGGTGGATGGGTGGATGGATGGGTGGATGGATGGATGGATGGATGGGTGGGTGGATGGATGGATGGATTGATGGGGCTTTATGTATCAGCTATCATCTCATTTTATACCTAAGAAAGTACGCTGCTATATGATGTGACTTATTCAAGCTCAACATTATTAAAAGAGGGAGAAAAACTCTGGAATTTGGTCCTAAATTGTAACCTGCTACTCTGCCCTCAGTCTCAGAATGCACAAAAGAAAGATTTTAGGCTAAATTTTCAAGAAAAAGTGAATGTCCTCAGTGCCTTTTACTCTCGGGGCTAAAAATGAGGTCTAGGTCTACTTACTGATAAATGGATTAAACTGTTCTTGAAAGCACTCCATATTTCACTAAATATTTCATTAAGTAGAATATTTCTTAGACCTGACACAGTTACAATAATATACAGAAGTCTCCATATTTTATAGATTCTTCAGACATTATCCCAGTGAAACAAAACTTACAGTCAATATAAAGTTTATATCACACATATATTATTCATCATAAAAATACAGCTTTCCTTAGTATTCAACTATACTGAAAACAACAACAAAACAAAACCCACAGCTACTTTCTTTCATAGCTGGGAAAACCACTTCAGTATTTGCAGGTCTGTAGTTTAGCAACATCAAAGATAAACTGCTTGCCAAGTAAAATAATAGAGGGGTCCTTTAAAAGAATGACAGAGTGGCAAAAGGGCTACAGTTAAGTTTAAGTCTTGCAAATGTCCGTGGTGTTTCTGATAGCCTAGCAAATATTTCCACAAGCTCTCATTCTGCCCCAGGCCTTCAGCTTGTGACACCAGCATAAAATCTCTCCCCTAAACCCAGAAATCCTTTCCACAAAACCCAAAGAGTACGTGAAGAACAGGTTGTTTGCCTTCACGTCCCTTTGGTGGGTAGCAAGAAACAAGACTGACTGTGCCAGGGCCATCTCAGCGGAAGCCCTTGGTAAAAGGTGCCCAAGGTCAGCTAGCGAGCTACCCACATGGGCGCACTGGGCTCCCGATGACCTCGGTTACCTTTCCTAACACCTGCCCTGTAGGATTCGATGTGTGGGTGATATAGTCGGCCAGGAAGGTGTAAAAAGAATGCACTCATCTGTGAGAGCAGCTATACCACAGGGTCACCGACTGGGTGGCCTAAACAACAGAAATTTAATTTCCCTCGGTTCTGGAGCCCAAGATCCAGGCATCACGGGGCAGATTTCTGAAGCCTCGCCCTGTGTCTCTAGACGGTGTCCTCTGACATCTTCACCAGCTCTTCGCTCTGTGTCTGTGCACATGCTGATCTACCGTGAGCACCGGGCGCCAGGATCAGAGTACAGATCAAGTCCTTACTTTAGCTTCAGATTCACCTCTTTCAAGGCTCTGTCTCCAAATTCAGTGACAATCTGGCCAGGATTTTGACATACGGACTTTGGGGAGTGGGGAGCAATTCAATTCAGCCAGCAGAGAGACTAAGGTTTTTAGAAATCGATCCCATTTGTCCCAGTCACCTCACTGAGCCTGGCTCAGTTAGGAAGCCAGAGCCTCTGCTCTGTTAGAAAGACAGCCGTGGAGAGGGAGGAAGGCACAGACTCCTCCCATCGGCCTGGCAGTGCTCTTCTGTATCTGAGGTCAAAGTGAGGAAACTGTTTTGCTGCTGTTAGCACTTGAAGCTCCTCCCCTTCTTCTCGTGCCTAATCACACAGATTCGCTTTCTCTTCCGCTTCTCTTTCTCCACCCCTACTTTAGGGAAAACAGTTCCTGTCCACCTGCTCTCCCCGTCCCACCCCTACAGTCTTTGCAAGAGGAGAAAATCACAGTCTCTCGTGCGGGACCACGGCATCTCCCTCCCCCTCTGCGCTCCAGAAATGACTTTTATCCCGCTGCTGATTTGGTCCAATTCCTAGTCATCGGATGCTTTCGTGTAGTCAGTCACCTATCCCAGGTTGAAACTAACTTCATGTGCGTCGTGCTGTCAAATTTCAGGTGACCTGAACGGAAAATGTAAATTTTACTGAGGATTTGGCAGATTCATCCGAAAGGAGAACTTTCTTCCCACAGCATAAAGTCCCTTTCAGTACTGGCTTTAGTCCGTTGCCAGGAAGTGAGAAGTGTCCCTCTCCCTCTCCCGTCTTCCTCCCCTTCAGCTTTTCCTCTGGCTGCTCTGCCTTGAGCCATTCTCTGCTCCAGAAAGACCATTCACCCACGCTTTCAAAGACACATTTAGTACCCTTCTTCCGATCAGAACCACAGCACAGTTCTATAGCTCAGTAATTCAGAATTTGGAGCTCTTGTCTAGGAATCTGTTCATCACTCTGCTCAGAAAACCAAATATTCTTCACAGCCCCTTCTTTTGCTCCTTCAAGTTAGAAGAGGGTCATAAATATAAACATTGTACTTCTCTGTTCACCGTGTTGTACCTGTACTCTATCCCTATGATTACAATTATTACTGTAGGCCTTTTGTGCTATTGTCTCTGTACTATTTTGACGTCTTATTTCCGCGAAGAAGTCAGAGGTTTTCCTCTACAACCTTGCTTGGGTATTAGATTTCTAAAATGCTGTAGCTCTTTGTATATCTATAGGACTTACTCAGTGTATTTCCGAGTTTATGGCTTTGTCAAATTATTCCTATGCTTCCCAAACCTGTTTTTCTTTCTTTTTTTCCATGGCTCTGGAGCTAGAACTGGGGTCTTTGGGCTTGCGAGACAGGCGGCAGAACCACTGGGCCGCAAACCTGTTTTAATCTGTGTTTATTTTGCAATCTTTAGCATCTGTGGAATAACACATCGTGATTAGTCTGTGCTTTTTGATTCTCAGGTATTATCCTCAGATTACTTTTGCCTTGTTGCTTCATCCTTCTCCGACAAGAAGTGGCAGCCTTACTCGAAGCTCTGAAATAGAAATGTCTAAAGCCTCTTGCTGTAGCCGTGTAAGCCCAGATCAGGAGAATGATTTCCTCTGAGACCCAAAGGAATGCATAAATCTTTGCAGAGTGAACCTGCCAAGGATAAAACTGCCCTAAAATAACTGAAAACAGCACACAGAACAGCAGGTGCTTTTCTAAAGAAACTGAAAGTTGGGTATTCATTCAAATAAATGACAGGTCCTTCAAGTGCTACCTACTCCGAGTAAAAGGCAGAAGGCCAAATATGAAATAATTCCTTTCATACATAAAGCATCTAGGCAGAAATCGATAACTCGTGAGTGGGGGTCACAAGTGTGTAAGCCTCAGTCAATCTTCCTTTGACGAAGAGTGTTTTAATTTTACAACAAGGTGATGGAGAACCAGAAGTCACTTTTTCACTTATTTGATTGCAAATACAAGTCAGGCTTCTGTCATCCCAAGGGATTTCACAAGCATTTCCTAGGCTTCATTACCAAACCAGGGAGCTCTTCAGGAAGGCCTTTGCCTAGGGATCTCCAAATCCAGTGCTGAGACAATACATAGGTCAACTTGCATTTATGTGAGGATCACCTACAATAGAACAAAAGGGAGACCCTACATCTCCCAGCTGTTTCTATTGCTCTCCTCTCTTCCTCAGAGAGTTCCTAGCCTTCCAGCAACTTTAAGCAGGTAATTCTAAGAGAAAGGTTTTACCCACTCCTCCCTCATGTGTCACGGTATAAGATGGGAAGCACAATCAGAAATATTTTGCTATGATAATGTCATTAAATTTTAAAAATGGATGAGGCACTATATACTTTTATTACAAAGTAAAAGACAGCCATAAAATAAGCAAAAGAAACTAGTTCAGCACATGAAGCGGTTGCTCCCCTCCCTTTTTAAAGGAAAGCACAATCTCTGTGATTGTGTGATTCCATAGCAGAGATCAGATTCTAATTTCCCTGAAACGTATACCTTTACACACCTTGTTTTCGTTCAATAAAAGTACCAGCCTGTATCTTTCGAGTAGAAAAAAATCTACAGTTTTACTTATGTGAATTTTTTTTCAGCTTTAATTGAGTTTATTGGTACATTTTGGGGATACAGTATAGTTACATTTATTGTTGGGATCTTGTACCTCTACATGACAAGTCTTGATTCTCATTTTTTCCCCTTACCTCTGCCCTCCCTTCACCCCCTCCTCCCCTCCCTATCTACAAACACTTTATTTTCATCTTTTCATTATCTCACATTTTTTTCTTTTCCCTTTTTACTCTTCCCCTACTCATCCCACCTTCCCTACACCTTTAGCTCCTTTCTTCCCATTTCTAAATGTCAGTAATCTTATTAGAATCTTATGCATTGTTGCAGATTATTCATACCAGGGAAACTATTCGGTATTTACACATGTGTGACTTATTTATTTCACTTAGGAGTATATCTTCAATAGTTATGTGAATTTTAAGTATAAGGAGAAGTGTTAACATATTCATTTTGAAGCATTGTTCCAAGGGAGTTGTAGGTGTCCTCCAATTTGAGGACAGGATGATCCAGCAAATCCTGCTTACTGCAGTCCCATCTCTCATCTTCCCTTGCCTTTGAATTAGAGTCAGTGGCCCCTTATTTGGAGCTCTCTGATACCACCCAAACCAGCATCCACTATATCTGAAGAATTCCCAGGACTGGACTGGAATGCATTTCAATATGGCGCCTTGGGGTTCAACTGGGCACAAACTGTTAGCTAAGTTCCCTGTCTGGGTGTCTCCTCACACTTCCTCCACTTCCCTCCATTCCTGGCTTTTCAAGGTCTTTGCACACAGGCTACCTGGGTTCCAGACCCTTGGATCCTCCTTCTCAAGTATAATCTCAATATATACTTGCTATTCTGCCATTAATGGGAGCAGGAACTCCTAAGTTTTTTTAATGGAAATACCCTTTTAATGGAAACATTTTCTAAAATATGTCCTGTCATTTTTCTTTGGCTCTATCTTTTATGTGGTGTGCTGACTGATAAACCTGGGTTAATTTTTTTCTTGTAACTTAAAATTACTCGATATCCTGCACAGGAGTTTTTTTCTAGCACATGTCTCCTAAATTCTGACATTACTGATCTGTGTGAATTATAGCATTTAACTTTCTTTTCTGGAACATCTTATTTCCCTAACATTATGTTGGAAGAGCTTGAATGTAATGTTATAAAATATATTTCTGCACTTGTCAAAGCAGAAGGTATTACCCTTTCTCTGAAAATATTACCTAAAAGGGTTGATATGTAGACAGGTTAATTTTTTTGCCTCAGTGAACTTCACAAGTCAGTACAAATTGAAGTCTTAAATGAAAACAAAAAGATATTGGGAATATATTCCTTGGATTAACTTTATATCACAGTGAACAATTGAATGGCCATTACAGTCGCTGTACTTTTTGGCTTTTTAAAAACATGTATTTTTTTATTATTTAATTCATATTTTATTAAGGAAGTTTCACTTACCTGATTTTCCAATAAGGCTGGGACAAATCAAGAACAGAACATTTGTTCTTTTCTTCCTCTGCTAATCATCATAATAATTGTTTTCCGTAGGAAAGCTTCTCAAGGAGTATCTGCCATCTATTATTTTATGGAAATAAACAGAGAGGAAAGCAGTGAAGGCTTTGGGAATGCCTGGCTCCTTAGTTTTTAAGTTGTGACAAAAAAATGGTTTTGATGTCACCTGCTGCACCTCTCACTTCTGGGCACACCTAGGCCTACAGGAAGAAGGGCAAAGGAGGAGCTGCTTTTGAAACTCTCATTGGCTGTGTACCTTCTATAACATAATTGAAAACCATTACTAGGCCCTCAGCATTCAGTTTTCCCTCTCCCACACCCACAATCAGTTTAGGCCATGGATAAATCATTTCAAATATTCCTATAAAGTAGTATTATCATGGAAATAAGGGAAAAATGAATATCTCATCATGTCCTAGGTGTCTCGGAACCTAACACTTACATTCTCATTTAATCCTCACAATCCCAGGTGAGGAATGTTCTTGCCTCTACTAATAAGATCGTTGATGTTCAGAAAGTTTAATTTTCCCAGGCATGCATAACTAATTATTAACAGGGCCTAGATTTAAACCAGACCCTTTTGACTGCAATGCCTGATCTTGCAATTCACTGCTTTGCAGTGGAGACTTCGTGGCTTGCCTGGAATGGCTCTGTGGAGAAAGCCTCCTTCCAGATACTATAGAAAAACCTTTTAAGTGGAGGGTAATTATTTTATATATTTTTTCAAAAGTCACCCTAGCTGCTGTTTGGCAGTAGAACACAAACAATAAGATCCCCTAAATTATGTGATGAGAAAGAAATCTTGCAACTATTTGATTTCTCAGTTTAAAACCCCAGTATGTCCACTTGAGAAGTGGAGAAATATATCAAATCACAAAACAATATACAAAACACCTAATACTCAATAAGGGAAAAAATATGTAGCATCTTAGATCGGTCTTACTAACAGGTGGATTTGTTCACAGTAACCAGTTTAACTGTGTAGAAAAAAGCTTGTATTTGCCCTTTGCTCCCGAATCCTCCTCCTCTACTTCTTGATATCCCTGTTCCAAGAGAAATGCTTGTGTTAGACATTGGATTGCACCTCTCACCCACACAGACCCATTTGATTGTAAACGAGCATATACCACATAGCCCGGTGCCTCACCGTAGCAAGTCCTTCACAAATTTTAGTTTCCCTTCTGCCTTAGGAGATAAGCATTTGTACATTACTGCTGCTTTTACAGGTGTATAGCTCTTCATTACTCTCTTTTGATAAGTAGTCTTCTGGAACTAAATATATGTCTATATCGTTGTCCCTTTCTGACTTACTACACTAAAAAGCCCTTTCCTTTTAGGTTGTGAACACTGAGGAAAAATGTATGTACCATGGAGTGTAAGAAGATTACATTGACATAATATCACTTTCTACAAAAGGAAGTTGGTGAATGCAAATAGCTTTGTGGGCACTGGCGAAATAGAATGCAGTAAATAATGCATGCAAGTCTTTAGCTTTCTCCATTAGTAGCATATTAAAAAATCAACAAAATGGGATAGTGAAGCTTATGCTGTAATATCCACTGGGGGTTCCTTATTAAATGCTTTGTATTTTTGGTCTCCTAAAAGCAGCCCAGTCTCTCAGTATGCAGCTTCATTTTCATTGAAAAACATATGCCCCGGGGGAGAACACATTGCCTTCCAATACAGTCAATTCTGCACCAATTTAGCTGATGGTGTTGTCTCGTACCTTATTAATGCATTTATTCCACAAACATTCCTAGGCATACAGAGCACTGAGCATTAGATTAAATTTCTGTGATTTCCCACAGCATTATCCACAGATCAACATGCATACACCCTCTATCCACTTCCCTCTGTCACAGCGCAGTGAGAAAAGGCCTGAATCTGGAGGTGCCTTTCACTCCTACTCTCTTGGAAACCATGAGCCTTCAGCTGTACTCTGTCATCTACAGGGTGATTTCAATGGCCTTCAAAGAGAATACAATTGTCTTTGATTTCCAATCTCTTCCCTGACCCAATATCCCTCTAGCATAACCAGCCAAAATAACTAAGAGTCTTATGCATTTCTTTTCACTCTCATCTGTGCTGTAATCCTTTCCATTTGGATTTTTCCTCCACCAAAAATGATTTTATTCAAGTCATTGCTTATCTTTAGTCTTCGTGGTAACTGCAATTTCTTGTTTTGCTAAAATTTGGGATTGGCAATCCTTCCTTCTAAGGCGGGGCAGTGTTCCTCTTTTGACTTTTCTAACCACATTCTAATAATTTTCTCATCAAAACTTTGTTCCTTCCTATCTGACTTCAAAATATCTGAATCACTCATGGCTTGGTCTGGGCTATTTTTCACTCTTTGTTTGTTGAGTAATTTATTTTATTCTCACGACATTAAATATCACCTGCCCCTCACTAATCCTGAGGTCAGAATAGGTTGTTAAGTCTGTACTTCTTCCAGGAGCTGTAAGTTTATATAATCAGCTGAATTCTTGCCATCTTTGCTTGATGATTTCTCAAACATTTCTAAGTTCTAGTGCAGAAAGCTGACCTTTGAGATCTGTCATGAAAACAGGCTCTTCCTGCACTCATTCAAACGTCAGTGAATGGCATTTTCACTGCCCCAGATATTACCTTCAGAAAAGAGTCAGTCTTGAGCATTCCCTCTCCACTACCCATCACTCTCTCCACCACTAGGCTCCTGTGACTCTGTGCCCTAGAACTGTCTCCCACCTCACTCTTCCTTCCGACTCCATTGTGACAGCTTCTCCAAGATCCTCTCACAACCATGACAACAGCCCCTCAATGGCTTCCCAGCTCTGCACTTGTTCTCCTCAAATTCATTCTCCACTCACAGCCAAGAGGATTTTTAATGAAATTAGTTTATAGAATCTGTTTATAAATTTCGGTGGTTTTCCAATACACTTAAGAAGTAAATTTTAAATCCTGAAAGCAGTGCTCAAGACCTTACAAGACCATGCTACATCCTATTCTCCAACCTCCTTCTGCATAATCTGTTTGTCACGCATACACTATGTCCCAGTGACGTGTGCTCACTGCTGTTGCCTAAGCCCACCAGCCTTCCTCGACTTCCCAGCCTTCAGTCAATCAGTCACACTGGTCTCAAGGCCTGGAAAGATGTGACTGTCACCCATAGCCCAGACATTCTCTAGGTTTCAGGGAAGAGCTTATCCATAGCATTCCACAATCTGGATACGTATTTTTCTCCAGAGAATCTATCATATTTTTAGCAAATGTTTATGACTTTGATTACTGTATCTTTAATCATATATAGAATGCAAATAGATTTCTTTAATTCTTCACTGTATTTCTAGAGTCTGGGATCTTGGTTTCTTTAGAAAAAATGGCATTCTAGGAGAGCATTTGTAATGTAAGGATACAATAAAATGAGCAAAAATGATTGCTTTATTTAAAGATGTGTTATCACATCCATCAAATAGCTGTTCTTTCCAAACAACCTGCTGAACACCAAAGGCAAAGATCATAAAGGTTATTTTAATTTAGATGTAAAACACTTTAAAGTGTTTTTTTAATTTAAAAAAATAGTTTTGATTCCTATTATGCTCATGACAGGGATAAACACTGGTAAGATAGAGATAAATAAATCATGCTTCTTGCAATTAAAGTGTTCATAAAATGAATGGGGAAATCAGATAGACTTAATTAAGAGATATTTACTGAAGGTCAGGAACTGTGCTGCATTCTAGGGAAACGAAGACAAATAATGCATGTGCCCTGATCTGCACTGAAGGAAGCAGAAACCTACATGATGATTCCAAGTATGTAGCTGTGGAATATAAGTGTGCCATGCTAAATCTAATTTGCATGTATTTAACACACTGCCAAAAGAAGTAAAGGATGGATTCAGAAGGTGGACTTGAGGTGCTATCCACAGCAAAGGGCAGAGTATTTTCTACACAAAGAAATGGGCTTAAGGGATTCCAGGCCTTGGAGTAAACATGTGCAGATCATGGAGATTTACTTCCTATAAGTAAAAATATGGACAAAAACAACAGTTATGCACCATCCCATCTTAGTTCCCTAGAGGTTGCAGAGGAATATGTTCACTTTTGTGACCGTTCCAATTTTCTACTAGATTCAGTAAGGATAGAATATCTTAAATATTCTAGATTCATGCTGTTTCAAAGAGCCTAAAAAGCCAGCTGTAAAAGCATCCTAAGATACTAGCCTACTCAGCATTTCAGACCACAATATGATAATGACACTGTGTTTTAAAAAGGACTACATAGATCAGCACAGAACACAAGGTATCTGTGGTTCCAGAAAAGGCTGTCGGCCTAGCTCAGTGATGGTCAACCTTTTAGAGCTTTCGATGGTAACAAACAGCCCACTGCAGCAATCGCGCCATAGGTTAGCGCATGCATTCACCAGTCATGGTTTCAAATTGACGGATCTCTCCTTGCAACTCCTAGGCCAGGGAGGCAGGAGATGATGCAATGCCGTGATGCCAGTGTTGTGCTCTCCTCCCGATGAGGTCCCTGAGGCAGAAATCTTCTTGAATTCTCCCCTTTCGTGAATTTCAAAGGCTTTAAACCCTATGAGTTGATGTTTATTTGGGACTGAAAACAGTGCTTTCCACATCTTCTGTGTGGTTTCCAAGTGCAAGAGATACATGAGCTGTCGAGGGTTTATACCTCTGGTCCATTGCTTTTCACCTGTGCTCTACATAAATAAAGAACGTGGAAGGGGGCTGTACCATGTGAGCACACAGAACACTGGAGATACTGAGTCTCCATTGACTTCGAGCTGCCCACTCCACCGTTCCAATTACTTTCCTCATTCTTTTCTTTCTTGAAGAGAAGCTTTCATCTCACATTATAGCCTGTTCCTCACAGGAGTAAGATTCTGTGACTTCTCTTCCAAGTAAGCAACCCCTGGGCATGAAAAGGGAGGAAAGAAGCAATCACTCTTTCTAAGGGTCTTGAGAAGTTGGGTTTATTCAAAGTAAAGTCTTGCTAATGAAGAATTAAAGCGACCCGGTAATCTTAGCATTGAATTTGCCCCTGAGATCTTGTCAAATCACTGCACCTCTTTAGCCTTAAGTCCTTCATTCATAAACTGGAGACTTACTGCCATGGTCAAAGATCTGTCATAAAAATTCAATGAGCTCACGAATTTGAAAGTTTTTAAAATAAATATCAAAATCCTTAAGCCTTTCACTAAGATCAAAGATGGACACAACTCCAAGGAATCATCGAACAGCACTGATTTCTGGCCAGGTCTCTTTCAGAGTGCACACTGTGAGGGTTATTTTCTTTTGTGATTCTGGAAATGAGTTCCTGGACCCCTGGGCTGATGCAGAGTGAAGCCCATGTGCGCTGAGCAGGTAAAAGCAGGGGAGAATCAGTGTTGACAGAAATTGGCCTTGGGGAGGTAGTAAGGTAATGAAAGGGAAACATGTTTGAAAGGCAGAATGAGAAAGTCCTAGAATAGATCACAGGATGAAAATGCTGCCATGCCTTCCAGAATTTGCAGAATAAAGCTGAGATGCAGGTGAAGGAATTGCTCTCTATGTTGTCAACTTAGAATGTAACCAACTAGCCCATCTCTCTATATGCAAAAGCAGAGATCTGATCAACAGTCTCTAACTCCCATTCTTATTACAAGATTGCCTCTTGTACTCTATCATGAATGGGCATTTTTGTGTTGTTTTTGTGCCTGTGGCAAACAGTATGCCTTGGTTGCATTTTTGTATTAATTTGCCAAATATATCTGTAAAGTAGACAACATTTTTAAATCATATTTGACATAATTTCCTTTTCTAATGCAAGAGAAGGCTCAAGAAAATCAGCTCCAATATTTATAGTACATGGGAATTTCATCCAAAATTATCGATGAACTTGGTCTTGATTATTTGGGTCCCTAACTGTTGGCAAATAAGTCCATTTTTATTATTTTTTTTAACATGGAAGTTTCCTGTCTATTTTCTATTTTAATTCTCTTCCTCTAAAAACAAAAGTTGAATCATCTCTGGCCCTTGAAAGATAAATAGCTAAATGTGATACTAAGTAGTCCTTTGTTCTTGTCAAGCTAAGGCCAAGTGACAGGTTCAGTGAGATTTCTGAGTTGCATAAAACCAAGGCGGAAGCTGTGGCTGCACTCAGAAAGCAAGCGTACTTGGTCCTCTGGATTCCTCCTACTGCAAGGAAATGAGTGTGGGAGCCAGAGTGAGGGAGGAAGGATCTAAGAGAGGCTGCAGGAAGGAAGTGCGCGTCCTGGCCTCTCCCTTAGCCCTGGTAGCCGTGAAAAGGCGATCTGAAGCCACCCTAGAGATCTCTGATTCTGTAGACCTCTGCTTTCTTCTCGCTGGAATGAAGCTATCCAATGTACCGTCCTCGGCAACTCAGACATTGTACTTGAGACTTCTGCGGAGGTTGCCACACCAAAACATCTCAGGCTGTGTACCATAAACAACAAAATACTTGTTTTCTCACAGTTCAGAAGACTAGAAGTCTGAGACCCAGGAGTGGCTGCTTCTGAGACCCATAGAGGGCCACGGCTTTGTATCTTCACGTGTCCTGCACTCCCCAAATCGGTGCACTAATCTCTTCCTCATGTTCGGTCGGTGCCCACACTGGTGATATCATCATAACGAATTCAATCGCCTCTCTCAAGGCTCTGTGCAAACACAGTCCCATGAAGGGCCTGGGGATTGGGACCTCAATACACACATTTGCAGGGGAGGCAAACTTTCCCCCAAATTATGACTCTCGCCTACAAAACGCACTCACCCCATCTGAATCATCCCAGAGTCTTTGCCCATTCTGTTGTTGACCCTAAGTTTAAAACCTCCTTTATATTATCATTTATCTGAGGAATGGGTGAGACTCCAGGTAAGATTTGTCTCGCGATGAAATTCTTTTCAAGCTGTGAGCCTGGGAAGTTGGACACTTCAACTGTGCCCAGGCTACAGTGGTAGCAAAGGCACGGGCTGGACATTCCCACTCCCAGAGGGGATTTCAGGAAGAGAACAGATCGTGGGTCACGAGCCAGTCTGAACCCTACAGAACAGGGCCCATTCGGTGTGCATGTGTGAAAGCCGCTCTCTTTAGTATGCCAGGAGCCCCACTCCCTTGGCCCCAAAAGCACCTTTAACCCTCTGTGCCTGGGGAGCAGACATCCCTGCACCCCCGCACCCTATCCTCATGGTGACACCAGCAACTTTGCCAATCTCTGAACTTCTTTGGGGATCTTTCTCCCTTTCTTTGAAGGGTAATGTATGCACCCAGAGACCTCTGGTGGCCTGACCTTATGGAATCCTAAAAATGTGATCACTGCTCTTGATTGTATCCCCTCTGTCAGCTTCAATTCAAAACTGACAGATTTTCGCTGCATAATCTCCTCTCCTTCGGCCTTCTGCTGACTTCCTTGATTGAAGACCCACAAGTCAAGGTCTGCAATCTCTGCATCAAATGGTGGCCCAGCCACCCCTTAGAGTTGGCTCCAGAGCATCCTTTCTAGTTCTTTTCAATTCCGACCGTCTGGGAATCACCTCCACGTACTGGCTGCTCTGTGTTCAGCGCCTCCTTCTGTTTATCTCTGTCCTCTTGCGTTTGACCACAGCAGCGAAGAGAAACCAGGCCACGCCATCCACACCTGGTGTGGAAATCTCCTCAGTAAATATCCAAGTTCCTGCCTGATGAGTTCTACTTCTGCAAAACACTAGAACACAATTTGACCAAGGTTCTGAGTCACTTTACAAGAATTGTCTCCACTACAGAGCCCAGTAACATCGTCTGCATTCC